TCGCCACTCGCTTTTATTCATACTACATTCAGGATCAAATTTGGATGTTTGTGAATAAGGTAAAGATTGTAGAAAGTAGAAGTCACGATTAAAATTCACGCACAACAATGTGCCTCGACGGGGAATCGAACCCCGGTCCACGAATTTCCGATCCGCTGCTCTACCACTGAGCTACCGAGGGCTGACGATTAGGTGCGCAAATTTTAACACATGACTTCTGCTTGGTGCGCGACGTATTGCCAGTGGGCTCACAGTACCTGTCCTGGTGTTGCAGATTGGCTCACTCACCCGTCACTTCCGGGGTTCGATTCCCCGTCGAGGCACATTATTGTGCGTGAGTTTTAATCGTGACTTCTACTTTCTACATTCAGGATCCCCCATGAGCATCTCGGAGTACCGTCCCCTCATTGCCTGTTGTACATGAGCCTTTATTATGCTCCAGATGCCCTCGATGGGATTGAGAGCTGGTAGTATGGCGCAAGGCGTAGAAGTCTCCCAGAGCGGTACGGTTCCTCCAGAAAGACGTGCTCCAGGTGCGTGTGACAGGGCGCGTTGTCACAAATCAAAAGACCCCTTTCCACAAACCCTGCTCCGTTGGTATCAAGCACCTGTCGCAGCCACTGTGCGCATCTTTGCTTGTTGTAACTGCCTCTCAGAACCGAACACGCTATCAAGCAGTTGTTTGTCATGGCGCCGACAAGATGAGCATTCGGTCCCCTGCTGTTCACCACTGTACACTGCACTTGACCACCTCGTCGTGAGCGGCCACGAGTGCGTGCGCAAAATAAGTTGCAGCTGGTCTCATCCATCTCCACCGGTTACCTTCCTTCCACCTCCTAATCTATGAGCTACAAAACGAATGACCTGCGTCGATTTTTGTTCTCCATCGTGTTCATGGACTCCGGAATGGTGTGCAATTTCTTCATTGTTATAAGTCTACCATCCAAGTATCGTGAGACAGTGCTGGTACTTACTGTAAGTTCGAACTCTGCCTTCAACCGTAGACGAAGGAGTTCATGGGTAACGGTAGGCTGTGCAGAAACCCACACCACCAGAGAGTTGACGTTGCTGTCTCCCAGTGCTTTGCGACAGACTCCCCCGTGCTGCACCATCGGTTCCGTCGATTCGTACGCCCGTATCCAGTTGCGGCAAGTTTTCACGTTCACCTTCAGTATGCAAGCGATCTGTTTCCAATCGTCACCTTCCTCGTACACTTTCGGTACGACGTTCTTCACCTCCCTCGAGTGCCGAAGATACGAGCCAACCATTGCGTTTAAGTGAACTGCACATTCAAAAGCATACAGCAAACTTATTTGGCTGTGGCTCCTTATACCAACCCAATCGTCATTCAAATCCCTACTCTTGTTCCAATTGGTGGGAATCGCTTCCTAGGACAGAGAAACAAAGGCCAACCTGGTGCATGGGTCAGCGACATTGTCCCTGGTAGGACCTGAAGCGTCCCACCTGCACCGCTATGACTTAGTGCGTCTGCGGTCCAACTGGCTGAAGGCGACGGGCTATACACGCACACCTATACACCTGCACAAGTAAGTGGTGTACGCACGGCTCAAATTAATTGAGTAGACTCATGTTGTATGCCCCCTCCGATTAATTCTGTTACCCAAGACGACAAGTTGGCCGAGAGATGGTATAGTCAAGTAATTCCACTGTGGTAGTAATTTACTGCCTCACCAGGTTTGCTATCTGTTCTCCCCAATCGCTACAATTGACTTTGGCTGGCCTGCCATGCTTTCGCTCCGTAGGGACAACATGCACCTGGGCGGTTCTCTTTGAGCTTTCCTTTCTGAAAGTAACTAGTGGGAGTATGTGCGAGTGTTGTGAGCAAATGATAAAGACCGCGAGTTCACCTGTATCCTCAGGGAATCCGTTGTGGCACAACAGAGCTTTTGGAAAGCTAAATCTAACGGCATTTATCAGCACAAGCAGATTAACATTTGATTGAATCAGAGAATATGATATTTTTTCACAGTTTGTGAAAGCAAACGTTCGCGTACTACAATATTTTCGGACACGGATGAGTCATTTGTTTCCGTTGGCTGTTTTGTCAAAACTATGTTTACAAACCAACTTGGTGTGTAATGTCTTTCGTCTTTGTCCCCAGGTGCTACTTTGTCTGTCATTGTGGACTTGAATCAGGTAACATCTGTCATAGTATCCGCGTGTATTGCTCTGCTGTACACCGTATTCGGAGGACTGTATTCAGTCGCGTACACTGACGTTGTGCAACTGTTCTGCATCTTCATTGGATTGGTACGTCTATTTCGTAAAAACTTGCTACAATGTAACTTCTTCAATATTCAAAGTATTCTAGGTTCCCTCTAAAAGCACGTACTTGAGCTTACTATTGATTTTAGTCCTCTTAAAATCTCTGCTATTCATTGTAACACGCAGTTTCCATCTGCTTCGACTAGGGTCCCAGTGAACGCAGTGATCAAGGTTCACTTCAGTGTGAAGCGCAGTCCACATTGAGATAGCGAGTCGTAATCCAACCACACAAAGTGTGGTCCAAAATTGACCCTCCAAGTCGCTCATATTCATCTTCAAATGAGGAACAGCTCCACGGAAGCTCTTTAGGCTCTGCTCTCGCTGATTTCTCCTGCTGATGATAGAAGGAAGCATTTTTCCTTAATATGAAATTAGTCCAGAGGAAAGGTTTACATAACCCTGATTATGTGTGGAAAGGGACAAATTGGGATGTTTGGATGATCAAACTCGATAATTATGGAGAATACCTGTAGCTCAGGGTGTGGATGAGAGGATTATCCTGTTCTCCGAGCCGGGAATTTCTGTTGTAGACGTTTCATTACCAAACTAGGAAACATCTCCAGTGCGACTATTCAGTTCCGATTCCCCTCGGTTGTTCACGTTGAGTTTTGCTTTCTCATAACAACTAGTGGAACTGGGTACGGGAGATGTGGGTAAGTGAAAAGGACCGCGAGTTCGCCTGGTATCCCTAGGGACACCGTGGTGGCACAACAGAGAGCTATTGGAAAGCCAAATTTAACGGTATTTATCAACATTTACCGGATGGACAAGGAGAAGAAGTGATCTCCCGACCGACTCACGTGAACCAATCGAAGGCTGACATTCGAAGCAGGTGACAATCAATAGTCATTAGGAGCTGGCGTTGGTTTTCAAGACTCCGCTAGCCAGGACTGAATAGCAACCCTGAAGATATTTCCTAGTTTGGTAATGAAACGTCTACAAGAGAAATTCCCGGGTCGGAGAACAGGACAATCCTCTCATGTACCCCACAGGTATTCTCAGTACTTTCCAAACAATTCGGGCACGATGCCGATGGGAGACGTTTGCTAGCCGACAATCCTCCACTCAAGAGCAACTTTACTTCCTGTACGAGTGTTTGCGAAAACATGTCCTACCACAAAGTATGCACTACCGTCCACCCCTCAACAATCCTTTGGCTTGGAATATCACCGAACAACACGGACCACGAATGCTACGTCCATAGATCACGGGTGCACACAACCGATGTCAAAAATATGAACTAGTAATCGATCAACAAAAGGCCATATGCTTGTCCATCCTCGGAGAACAGTTAAGCAGAGAGCTTGCGAAAGCGATTGACATTAGTATCCATAAGACCAAACTCCAAACAGAGCAGAAACTAAAAAGGAAGTTAGACAGAATCTCGCAACACAAACCAGCAAATGAAGAAGAAGCATGGATCAAGAATCTACCCAAGCGAACTCTATCAGATACAGAAAGAGCAGTTATTACGCGACGTTTGCAAGTCAATCATAAAGATTCCAATCCCGTTGATCTATTTGCCGCACTTGAATCAACGCTGATCACATCGAACATCGCATCTGATGCCCAACATGCAATTGACACAGTATGTGCCCCACTGTGAGTCAGGTCAGGTCAGGTCAGGTCAGGTCAGGTCAAACGGACGATAGAGGCTTTCGCCTAACGAGCGTCCAGTTTCTTGTGTCCCTAAGTGAAGCGGCCCCCGGCGCTTCGACCTTGAATTGACTTCTTGCTTCTGAAACGGAATGAAGCAAGAACAAGAGCAATCTTTGCACTTTCTTGTGTCATCAACAAAATGCACAGCATATTCCAGTACAATTACAAGTGGAAACCAACATATTCAGTCTAAGCAAACCAAAGGCACTGACAAAGTGCAGAAAAGATAAGACTATTGTTATATTACCGGCCGACAAGGGAGGTCTTACTGTCGTAGTGGACAAAACTGACTACATGAAGAAAGCACAAAAATTGCTGGGAGAGGTGAACACCTACCAGCCGATAAGTGAAAACTCTACAAAAAGTCTGGAAAGCAAGATCAACAAAACTCTTCAAAGACTGGAACAAATGGGCCAGATCAAGGAGTTAGAATACAGCAAGATGAAACCCGAGGATTAAGTGTTACCATGGTTCTATGGCCTACCCAAAATACACAATGTTTTGGTACCGCTCCGCCCTATCGTGTCATTCCTCGGGGAAGCGAATTACAAGCTGTGTAAGGGACTTTGGAAACGGTTGAAACACCTAATCATAGGCTCATAGTAGACAACCAACTAGGCTGAACAACTCCTTGAAAAACTTAAGGGAACATCAATAGAAAGTGAGGAGCTAATGGTCTCCTTTGACTTTACAGCTTTGTTCACATCAATTAACACTAAGCTGTCGAGGCAATGAGGACTTTGCTTGAACAACACGAAGCGGTAAATACCAGCGACAGTATTGAAGCCACACAACTGATGGAGTTGCTTGACTTCTGTCTCAACACACATTTCACTTTCAATGACCAAATGTACAAACAGATAACATGTACGTCAATGGGATCGCCAATCCCTGGACAGATATCAGAGGCAGTGATTCAAACCTTGGAACAGAAGGCATTGCCAAAAGTGGAGCCAAAACTTTGGGTACAGAACAATACGTTTGTCATCCTCAAACGCTCCAGATTACAAGAAACACATCAACTAATCAAGCATCTTTTTTCCGGCATCCATGTCACCAAAGAGGAAGAGAAAAATGATCAGTTGCAATTCTTGGACGTGCTCGTGAGAAGACATGCTTTTGAGTCAACGGAAACAACAGCTTATCGGAACGCGACGCACACCGATCAGATCTTAAACTATCGCAGTAACCATCAAACCGTATACAAGATAAGTTGAGTAAGGACGTATTACAAACGGGCCCAGACACAATGTAGCACACCGCTACTGAAGAAGGCGGAGGAGGACCACCTATTTAGCATTTTTCAACAAAATTCGTACCCTGGAAGCTTTATTCTGCGCTGCCTGATATCGAACAGCCACTTACAACCCGCGTCCACGTGGGCAACAGAAAGAAGAACAATTATTCTAACTTACATCCAACTTACATACTTACCCTTCCGTGTACCTTTCACACCCATTTTTACCTGATTCCTCTATAACGCTCAATCCCACCTACACTGATGAACCTGTTCCCGTGACATCTGTCAACTCAACCACACAGTACTCAACAGAGAGTTGCCGGTCCCAAAGTCGCCCATCTTCGCTCCTGCAACCCGGAACGCAGTTCAAACTTGCAGCTTTCAACGTACGCACATTACTGCAGATCGGTCAGCAAGCTGGAGTTGCACGCACGCTAGAGACCCTTGGAATTGATATCTGCTGCCTGACTGAAACACGACTCCAGGACTCTAACTCGGTCTACCAGCTGGTGTCACCGCTCCACCCACGCACCCGGTTCCATCTCTGCCTCTCTAGTGACGCCGAGTCTGCCGCATCTGGGCAAGCTGGTGTTGGAATCGCCCTGAGTGCTAGAGCCGAGACTGCTTTGATTGATTGGATTTCGATCAATAGGCGCCTTTGTGCGATGACGCTCCATGGCTCTTGTAAAGTCAGCAGACGTCGAGTCGAAAAGCGTGCTCTCTTCGTGATCTCTGCCTACGCGCTCACTGACTGTAGCTCAGACACCGTCAAAGACCAGTTCTACCAGAACCTTCATGAGCTGCTCCTAAGGGCTCCTAAAACAGACATCATTGTTTTGGAAGGTGACTTCAACGCGCGTGTCGGTTGTCTGCTGCCATGTGAGCGCCACCTCGGAGGACTGCATGGATATGATGATGTTCACTCAGACAATGGAGAGAGACTGCTCAGTCTGTGTGCTGATCATCAACTATTCCTCTCCAGCACCAGCTTTCGTCATCCTGGACGTCAGTACGCCACTTGGCACCCCATCATCAACCCAGCGCTGGTCACAGATTGAGCACATAGCTATAAGTCGCAGGTGGCGCGGCAGCGTACGCGACTGCCGATCATTTTGGTCAACATGCGTCGATACTGATCATGCACTGGTGTGTGCGACCGTTTGCATGCGTTTCGGTGGTTCGCCTAGGTCAAAACACACCCGACTGAACACCTACAAATTGGAAGACCCAATGGTGAAGAAAGAGTATCAACAAAAGCTTCGCGAAAAGCTCTCTCTCTCTCACACTCTGGATGTTGATCAACACTGGTCAGGTCTGCAACAAGCCTTATTGGCGGCCGGTTTGTTCAGCTGTGCCCTCACTCACCCCACTCCCAAATGCTGGATCTCGGGAAGATCCTCAGAATTGCTGGATCGTCGACGGGCGGTGCCTGCTGGCGCAGAATACAACGAACACCGCCGGTCCATTACGCAACAGCTGAAAACAAGTCTTCGCTCTGATCGTGAATCTTGGTGGTCAAAACAAGCTGGTGAGATGGAAGCCGTTGCGTCAGCTGGCAACCTCCGCCGTCTGTTTTATATCATCAGGGACACTGGTTGCAATTTCCACGCTATCAGCCAGACGATTTGCGAAGCAGACGGCACGAAGATCACCAACCTTCACAGGCGATTGGGTCGCTGGGCAGAGCATTTCGCTCTTCAATTCAACCACCCAACATAGCCCCCTGCGGCACCTCCAGCCCCAATGTATGATGCTTGGCCTGTATCCACAGCCCCCCCCCCCAATGAAGCAGAGATTCGAAATGTAATCCAATCTTTGAAACGCCACAAGGCTTCGGGTCCCGACAACCTACCACCGGCTCTATTCAAAGATGGTGGGAGTGTACTTATCAGCGAAATCCTATCGCTGTTCACGTAAGTTTGGACTGGGGAGAAGGTTCCGAGCTCATTGGGAGAATCGGTCATTGTTCCGATGCACAAGAAGGGCTCCCGCGCCGATTGCTGCAACTACCGCGGAATCTCCCTATTATCTGTCGCATCCAAACTCTTCGTGTCGGTCCTACTTGGCAGGCTTTCAACGACTAGAG